TGGCATTCATGCTAAAATTCGACACTCTCCGCAGGGGAATTAACAAAGACGCCAACTATCTTACCCATTACAAAGATAGCGTCCCCAATTATCACCTCTAATACTATTAACTCACAGACATTTTCCCTTCCCCACCTCTAATAGCATTAACTCACTGGCATTCACCTTCCTTCCCCCCTCCCCCCCCCCACCCCACACATCCCCCTTCTGTTCTGTAATGTGATTTGTCCTTTTCATGTGTGTTCATTTTTTTTAAATTGTATCCTTTGGTATATATGGTTGTGACTATTTTCTTCCATTATTTGATCTGAGGAAGTGGGTCTGGCCCACGAAAGCTCATCATCTAATAAACCATCTTGTTAGTCTTTAAAGTGCTACATAGTCCTGTATAGGTCCAGAAGTGTATCCACACTTCCCATCTGCATGGAGTACATTATACTTCCCAGTTATTGTTCTTGGCATGAAGACAAAAAACAAAACCAAGAATTAAAATAAAAATAAAAATCCAGAACTACACTTCTGCTCACTGTCTCCAGATCACAGGTCAAAACCTGCTCTCAAACCTTTTCAAAGGAAGTCAATGAGATTGTATTATAATACTTGAGGACAGAACTAGCCCTACATGGGCACAATTCCTTTCGTGACTGCTACACCTTAAGAATCACATGTGTTTCTGTCATAAATACACATTTTCAGGATATATACATTTGCCAAAAATTATAGCCAATTGCGCTGCAAGATTCTTTGATTCAGTACAGCAATAGGACAATATCAGAGTCTCACTCAAATCTCTGAATTTGCTGCACTGAAAAAAACAGAAACACTCTTTATTTTAATCAGAGTTGTTTCTCTGTGAGACTGTTTGCATTTTAACATTTATATTGGTATACATAAAAACAATGTAGTAATCCAGCTGGAGTTGACAAGAGTAGGATCTGGCTCTATACATTATGTGCTTATTTCACTGCATTGCCATTCCAGGTTTACCCTGTTATATTAGTATTCTATATAAGCAATATTTTAAAATTTATTACAAATAAAGTAACTTTCATCTACTTCCATCTTCCCCTCAATCTATCAGTCAAACTAGCTGATTTATTTTTGGAATTATAACTGAGGGCAGCGAGAAAGGAGTTGAGTTTTGGCAATGTAAGATTTAAAGTTAATGGTGAGACATTCAGAAGGACATGTAGAGATCACTGAGAATCAGATGTGACTGAAAGACATGCAGATTTGTCACTGATCTAAAGATGCAAAACCGGTGAGGAGTCCTATGGCACCTTAGAGACTACTAGATGTATTAGCCATAAGCTTTTCTGGTTAAAACCAACTTCATCAGATGAAAAAAGCTTCAAAACCCGATTACAAGGGGAAACAGCTAAACACAATTCACTTGCAAATTTGATACAAATTAGGCCTGAACAAAGATTTAAACTGGTAAACACACTAAAAAGACTATTTCCCCTCTTGATAATCACCTGTCCCCATTAGCTGCTGTGAATGAGGCATATCCACCCTTGATTAGTCTTATTAACACTGGTCCTACACTTGATAAGTAACTTTTTTGTCGTACTTTTATATACATACACAAACCCTTGCCTCTGTCGTTTCCACCCCAATTTATCTGATGAAATGGGTTTACCCACAAAAATTTATGCCCTAATAAATCAGTTAATCCTAACGGGTACGTCTAGACTACATGCCTCTGTTGCCAGAGGCATGTAGATTAGGCTACCAGACATAGGAAAATGAAGCGGCGATTTAAATAATCGCCGCTTCATTTAAATGTACATGGCTGCCGCGCTGAGCCGACAAACAGCTGATCAGTTGTTTGTCGGCTCAGCGTGATAGTCTGGACGCACGGGTGTCGACATCAAAGGCATTTGTCGACCACCCAGGTATACCTCATCCCAGGTGGCATACCTGGGTGGTCGACAAATGCCTTTGATGTCAACACCTGCGTGTCCAGACTATTACGCTGAGCCGACAAGCAGCTGATCAGCTGTTTGTTGGCTCAGCGCGGCAGCCATGTACATTTAAATGAAGCGGCGATTATTTAAATTGCCACTTCATTTTCCTATGTCTGGTAGCCTAATCTACATGCCTCTGGCGACAGAGGCATGTAGTCTAGACATACCCTAAGGTGCCACGGGACTCCTCATTGTTTTTGCAGATGCATACCCCTCTGATCTAAAGATAGTAGTTGTAATCATGTCAGCAAGTGAGATCACCCAGTGAGAAGGCAGAAAGCAAGAAGAGGAGAAAGTCAAAGATGGAGTCCTCTAAGACTCCAAGTGTAGGAAAGGGAATAGGAGAAAGGACCAACCGATGATCAGGAATCATCGTAGAGGTAGGAGAACCACAGCAGCACAAAGTTGCAAAAGCCTAGGGACTGGGAGGATAAAAGGCTGAGAAACAGAATAATCAATGTCAAAAGCAAAAAGAAGATATTGGCCAGGAAAAGGTTAGTAGATATCTTGAAGAAAGCAGTTTTGGTGAACTGGGAAGGAAGGATGCCAAACTGAAGAGGATTGGGGATGGAACTGCAGGAGAGAAATTCCAGGCAATAGCTGGTAAATGACATCTTCAATGAGTTCAGAGTGGAGGGCAGAAGAGGGATATGGTGATAGTTGAAGAGGCAGATAGTGGGGGGAGGAGGGTAGATTGTTTGTTTTTTTGGGTGGGAGGGTTGAAGATGCAGAGACCTGAATATTCTTGGATTTTGAGGGAAGCTAGTTAGAAAAGGATGAAAGAGCAGGGGAGATTAGTGGGTGATTGGAGGTAAAAATGTAGATGAGACATTCTGTCAAAATACACTGTAAATATTCTGCTACTCCAGATATGTTTCATTAGTTTCAGTTAATTTTATTAGCTTAAGCCATATCCTGCATCTTCATATTTAAGCAATAGATACATTTATAGAAAAATCAAAAGCTTTTTCCTTCCTTATTTTTTCAACTTCATTTCCAAAAACAACCAACTACCAGAATGAGAATGGTTATTGTTGACAGTAAACTTTGGATAGAGGCAAATGAAGACTACAGCTTAACGATTTTTGTGCAAAGCTGAAGCTAAACATATAAAACAAACTAAAAAATACCAAACCTTGTTCTGACCAGTAAAATGAACAAATGTGACACACAGATCAGAAAGTAGAAATACTCACTTTTTACACCTGAATAGTAATAATATGTAAGAGAAATCAGAAGTGGAGCAGATTCACTAATAAAATATGCTGCACAATAAAAAATATCTTTTATTGGGAATCAAATGAGAAAATAGCATAACATAAAAAAGGAATTTGGGGGAAGAGCAGGCTTTTTTTTGTTTTGTTTTAAGTCTTTTGACAGAAATAGAGAACAATGAGAAATTATAAACTCTCGTTGTTCTAAAAACATAATGATAATTAAACAAACTGCATAATGACAATTAAACACAAATGCACAATACTAGTTTCTACAGTGAGTCTGTACAATATTTATTGTGCCATCAGATCTGCAACAAACTCACAAAAGCTCTTGCATTCTTTGAGCACCTAACACACCCACTCCTGGGCAGAGTGCCTGGAGCTGGCAGCAAAAGCTTTTACCACAGTAGATCACATTTGAAATTTTAATAGCCTGGCAAAGAAAGCCAGAGCAGTTCTCTCACCAACACCACTTTGTCTTGAGCTTCTGCTCTTCTCACATGACTCAACCTCTGCCTGGATCCTGAGCCTCACTCTCAACATGGGGCTCCTGGATGAGTAACACCCCTTCTCCTCTAGTCCTGCCCTGCAGCCTGACCTCCTTATACCTGGACTGATCCAGGAACATCCATGGTCTTGCTAGACCATGGATGTTGCTGGACCACAGAGTCCCAGGTAAGGGAAGTACAACCTGTATTATCCTAATCTGTGGGGCAGATCTTCTGCTGATCTATCAATCAGAATTATTTTACAAAGTACAGTGGACTTCCGATAATCCGGAACCTATGGGATCTAGGTGGTGCCGGATTATCAGATATGCCGGACTATCAGGAGGTACTATAAGCTGGTTATATATATACTGTATACATTATATACTGTATATAAAGTATTCTTAACCCTTTTTATTGTACATACTGTATACAGTATACTGTAATGTTTTAGTTTTTTTAAGCCTTTTTTACACTTTTTGCTCAGTTTAGCTGCTGCTGCTGCTACCTTGTGACTCATTTTTTGCCGAAGCTCACTCACTAGGCTCTTGCCATTTTGATGCCAGACTATCAGGAGTGCCAGACTATTGGATGCCGGACTATTGGAGTTTTACTGTATTGGATTTTTAGCACTAAAATGGTCTACAACACTTAATCTCATATTAGACAGCACCAAAAGCTTGTTTTAAAGTTCTAGAATGAAATGCAGTATAAAGTTATACAAATGATAGAATTCATCTGGTTTGTTTTGATCTTGATGTTTATATTCTGCTGACTTGCAACATTCTAAGACAATGGTTAATAATCAGGACTAATGGGAAATCCATTGAGTTTCTTAGACACTATTTCCAAAGAAAAATTAAGACCAATTATTGATTTATGGCTTCTGTATGTTTTATGTAAACGGTACCACATTAAAATAACACATAATAAAATCAAAGAAATGTAAAACTTGAAGGACCTAGAAAAGTTATCATGTCCAGCCCCTTGTGCTCTGGTAGGACCATGTAAACCTAGAACGTCCCCCAATAGGTGGTTTGTCTGGCCTGTTTTTAAAAGCTTCCAATTATTGGGATTCCACAATGCCCCTTGGAAGCCTATTCCATACATTAACTACCTCTTATTATTACACTTTTTCCCTAATATCTAATAAATCTCCCTTGATGCAGATTAAGACTATTATTTTTTGTCCTGGCTTGACATATTTGAAGACTTATCAGGTCCTTCCTCAGTCTTCTCTTCTCAAGACTAAACTTGCCAATGTCTTTAATCTTTCTTTACTGGTCAGGTTTTCTAAATTTATTTTTGTTGTTCTCATCTGGACTCTTCCCAATTTGTCCACATCTTTCCTACTGTGTGATGCTCAGAAGTATGATCTCAACAGCACCAAGTAATGCAGGGTCTGAGCAGGGCGAGGGCGCAGGAGTAAGGGAGGGTACAGGAGCAAGGTGGAGATAAGGTGCAGGGCTGGCCTTAAGCCGATTCGGCCTAATCGAGCCCCGCGCCTAAGGGGGCCCCGCGCCCCTGCACCCAGAAGTGCAGGCAAGTTACAGAGCTGGGGCCTCGCTCCACCAATATGTGGAGCTGGGTCTCTCCTTGGCTCTGCCTGGAGCAGGCCCCGGTCCCCCTTACTTCCCCCAGCAGGTTGGTGGAGATAAGGTGCAGGGCTGGCCTTAAGCCGATTCGGCCTAATCGAGCCCCGCGCCTAAGGGGGCCCCGCGCCCCTGCACCCAGAAGTGCAGGCAAGTTACAGAGCTGGGGCCTCGCTCCACCAATATGTGGAGCTGGGTCTCTCCTTGGCTCTGCCTGGAGCAGGCCCCGGTCCCCCTTACTTCCCCCAGCAGGTTCTCCCCCCCTGCCCCCACAGC